CCGAATATTAGGAAAAAGGGGTACCCTTATTATAAAGAGGCTACTCAGGAACCAAGTTATCATGCAGGCTTACTTAGAGACTCCGGAGACTTGGCAGAGGAGCTTTCCTAAAGTCAAGGTTCTACGAGGGTGTTTGTAAGATGTTCTCAGAGTTTTCGAGGGCATTGAAAAGGAGTGTCATTTCAGGTGTGTTGAAGCTAGGGGCAAGTCGCGTGTGAGTATCCTTACTGGAGATCTCCTATCGGTAGCTCGAAATTGAAACCCAACGACCAAGTCCCTGCATTTGGGGTTCGGAGTTTAGGGGGTGGTTTAGGGTTAAGTGGTGTAGCGTTGTTCAGGGTTTAGGATTGTGGGTTGTTTGGGGTTTCGTGGTGTTGACTGTCAGGGTGTTCGCGATTGCAGGGTGAGCCCTTGCAACTCATGTCGAGAACTCGGTAAGACAGAGGTCTGCATAAATAGACCGGCAAGAATAGTCCCTCGTCATCCGTTTACCTTATTTCAACTTTTCCGCGAAGGGCCAGCGAGTAGTCTTACAAGGAGCCTGCAGAAACTCAAAGCCAGAATTGAGTCCCTGCTGTATTCTGTTCGTCAACTGTCTCTTGGCGAGGCCGTGAACCTGTTGCTGGCACATCGGGCAGGCGGCAATGGAATGCTTTGGACTGCTGATGGGCGAGTTTAGGGTTTCGGGGTTCAGGATTTGGGGTTTGGGGCTTAAGGCGTCGCGGCTCGAGCTAGCCCTGAAGGATTTTCTCCGTCAGGAGTGTTTCCTTCTTCTAGTATTCCCGACCCCAGCACCCTGCCATCGGGTGCGCCGCTGCTGGTTCTGGATGGCCACAGCTTTCCCCAACGTTGGGTCTTCTTGCTGGACTCGCTGCCTCCGGGCCGACTCCAGCCCAACTGGTTTTCATCTGGACCTCGCTGCTTCGGCCGACGTCCACGACCACTGGGACCTGGCTCCCATTTGGTATTCAGCTGGATCTGGATACCCTTATTTCGGGAGGCGCACTCCCTTTTATAATCTGGATTTCCTTGCTTTCGCTGCTGCGGCCGATTGCACTTGGTTACCAGGCCTGTGGATATTATATGTTCAATCCTCGGCGGCTCCTTCCTATACTGCCGCTGTTTGGCCTCGGATTGGGCCTCATTTTCTGGGGACGCTGCGGCCATACGACACCGTCGTGCTCCCAGTCCATCCTGGCACCGCCGGCTAAGGCGTGCCAGACACAAGGCTCGACAGCGGCTTCGCTATCGAGCTTTTCATCGTGCCGACTGGGAGCTGCTTTTCCGGCATCACAACAGCATGCCGCCGCAGCAGCGCGCTGCAGCTACGACCAAGGGGTCTGGCAAAAACAAAGCCAAGCCCGAGAATGCGCAGAGCTCCGCTGTGGAGTTCGGACTTCCATCAACTATGGTCACGGCTTTGCAATCGATATCCTCTCCTGCGACCCAGGACCTCTGGGCTTCTTCTGCATTTGCTTCCAGCGAGCTTACTGCGGATCAGATGGCACAACGGAGATCGAATGCTACAGCCAAGTTATCGAAGCGTATTACCGGGAATATGAAGGCCCGGATGGAGTTCGCAGCTGCCCTCTCAGCTTGGATGGGGCAGCTCAGCCAACATTTGATGGGCCTGCTTGGCCGCGTCCGTGCTATCAGCGCAAAGGTGGACGAAGACTCACAGCTTGCCATTCAGGAGATGCAATCTTTTCTGGCAGCACAGCCATCCGTGGCCACACAAGAGCAGATCCACCAAGCCCAGAGGAACATGGGGCCGACTTGGAGCTCACAGCAGGACGAAGAGATTATCCGTATTGCTGCTGCTATGAAGGCTTTTGGTTCGGTGGCCTTTCCTGCGCCTTCTGCGATGACAGGCCTTGGCCAGGAAACGCCTCCTGGCAGCTTGCTCGGCCCCTCGGACATGCACTCCGAAGTGAGCTTCGGTGGTGCGGCCTCTGGCTATCCGGACCCACCTGCTGGGGAAGCTATTCACCATCCCACTTTTGTGGCAGCCGCGCCTTCAAGCGCGTTGGATGCTATGGCGCCGACTACGCCGGCCCGCAGATGGAAACGCCAACAAAAGGAGCCGGAGAACCGGCCCTCCAAAAGTCCTCGTCGAGATGTCGGCCGGGTAAACGAGGCTCCATGGGCCTCTGTCGCTACAGGTTATACGCCAGAGAGCCTGCAGCGACCGTCGAGGCTGGCGGACCACGAGGAGGAACTGGTTCCAGACCACACGCGCTCCTTGCCCTCAGCTGTGCCCTCATGGTTTACGGGGTGGTTATGTACAATGCGCTTCGCAATAGAGCAGGGGGGGGACGTTATTGGCGAGCTAATTCAACACCCAGAACAGGGTGCTCTTCTTTCTCTCCAGCGCAACGCGGATGTTGCAAGTGTCGTCAGAGAAGCGGCACAGGTCCTGTGGAGCCGTCTACAGCACATTGTGGGGGCTCAAGACGAGTCATCAGTGCCCACTATACTCGAGCATATGAGGAGTTTCCTGCAGCAGTTACGGATGTGCCCCCAGGTTCTCCCCGAATTACCTCAGGGTCTTGTGCTGGCTGTGCAGGTTTCTTTGGGCTTCGTTCTGGATCCGTTCAGCTTTGCGCCCTCTACTGCTCAGGAGTGGTTGTTCCCCAGCTTGTTGCTCGAGCATGGCGGTCCATTTTGCGGTTTTGTGCCTTTGGAAGCCTCACCCGAGCCACATGTGCAAATGCTCCTCAGCTTGCCTCCACCAGGAGCTATGACGGCCCCGCCTGTCAACCCGGCTTCAATCGGACCAGAGTTCACGGACAGCGTTGCAGGTTGAACTGCAGGAGCCTACACAGTGACGAGGGCTTGGCTGAGTTTTGCGGCCGCGACCTCAGGTTCGGACTTCAAGGCAGTTTGATGTCTGTCGCCTGCTGCGGCTTATTCCTTTCCGCCTACCATGCCCGCGCTCTGGGGGTGTTGTGGCCATGGATGGCGTTTGTTGGAGCGTGCAGTCTTGTGGCCCTCGGTCTTGGGTTTTTGTCCGGTGCTAAGGCTGTTGGCTATAAAGGTGCTCGGGGTTCCGGTAGGCTCCATTACCCGGGCAGGTCAGTACGTCAAAAGTGCACTGGTTGCCTTTTCATATGGCTCATCCTTTCACCGCAGGTCCCTGGCGTCCAGGTGTGGCAGCAAGGTCAGGTTCACGGACAGCCTGTCTTCAATACAGGCGGTGCCTCCGACCGCTACGATTTATCGCCTGTCAGACACCCAGACACGCCTGTTGTCGACCCGCAGACCTTGCGCAGGCCCGCCTATTTAAAGGACATATGTGTCTTTAGGCCCGACGAAGACCCCTGCCATCAGGTCCTAGTTGCTGATATTAGGCTCACGGGGCCCCAACTTGGTAGCTGGATCTGCCGTGCGTATGGCCTTCAGGATAGTGAGTGGACCTGTTGTCGGCTACACGAACCTCTGCCTGCGTTTCCCTCTGAGCAGTATGTGTTGTCTCCCCGGAGCTTGCTGTGGCACAGGAGTCACATCCCTGTTGATCTCCGACCCATCGGCGGACCCGTTGTGTTGTGTGAGGCCATTCGGTGCCAACCCTGCGGCGACATTGTTCTGCAAGCACTTGCCGGGAGGACTTCGGTTAACTTCAGGGAAGGTCTGCTCTGTCGTTGCAGCCATGGTTGGTTTCTGCCTAGTGCTTACCTCACTTTGTTGCCGTATGGAGATTCTTTGCAGGTGTGGTCTACACAAAACATGCCGTCTATACCAGCACCTCCGCCTGGCGACTCGCTGCCGGCGACAGCATCGATTGATGACAGGTTTGCCCTCAGTTTGGACAGGACTCCAGGCGCTGAGGCTGCCTTTCACGAGATCGTCGGGGCTAATGCTGTAATTATAGGTGTCAACGGTCATGTGTACGCCGATGTGCCCACGTTTGCCGATCATCAGATCATTCGCTCCGCCGCATTGCAGGCGTATCTCAGGCATGAACGAGGTTCGCAAGAAGCTCTCCATTTCGCGCGTATTATGCCGCCCCTTCAGGGCCTCCCTGCTATCCAGTTTGCAGCAGTTCAATGTGGCGGCACAGACTTACCTTCGGTCGTCGATATGAGACCTCTAGGGGGTGGGCTCGTTGTCTTGTGTGTTTCCGACCGCGCCCTGCCTTACCATTGTGTACAAGAGGCTGTTAGGCGGTATGGCGATCCTGATCCCCAACACCCCCTGCATCAGCAACTCCAAGAGGGACGTGTGATTGTCTTGAACAACGAGCGGGTGATAGATGCATTCTCTGTCCTCACTTGTGCTTCCCCGAGAGCGCTAGTTTTGATCCGCCGGCAGCCCATTAGGTCACACCCGCCTGAACTAGCCGAAGGGGATTTGACAGGGTCTGTGTCCAATGCTTCGCCGCTCTTTCGGCCTGGTCGTTGGATCGTTCCGGGTTTCGGCTTCCTTGCTTCTTGGGGCTTCTGCGTTGATTGCCACGTTTGGCAGCCCTTGGCCGTTCTGATTTTGCTCACGCTTCATGGTACAGGGACTGTAGGTTCACCGGATGTGGCTTTCGTACCGCCCCTCGACTGGAGCAGCTCTACTCCCGCCCCCTTTGAAGTGTCTGATGGCCTTGCATCTTGCCCGCATCACGCCAGGCTTGCCTCTCAGTGGAGATTGGGCACAGATGAAGAGGCTATTGGAGGCAGGTCTTGTGGCGCGTTGCCAGGTCTCCGACACCAGCATTTCCGCATTGAGGCATATTCACCGTCCCAGTGGCAATGGTTCTGGGCCCCTAGCACTACTTCGCAGTCTGTTCTCCATGCAGTGGTTGCTCAGCTTGCCGTTACACCTGGTCGTGCGGAAGCCGTGCTAGCATCGCCCCAGCTCTTGCGCCGCAGCATTCAGCTTGTTGTGCCAGCACGTGACCCGCAGCTGCGCACTGTGCTAGTTGATGTTGGGTCAGGCTGTTCTCCAGGCATTGGCGCTCCTTTACCCGGGGCGCACCTTTCGTTTGGATATTTCTTCGAGTCAAGCTTTGCGGCACGGTGATGTCATTTTTGGCTTTGAGGACCGGTTTGAGAAGTTTGAGATTGGCCCTGTCGCCTGGCCGGAGTTACATACTGCTTCCTTCTCTGTACGATGTCCTGGACCGGACACCGCGGAGGATGTCATAGTTTCAGCTGCTGACCTCGACCTCATGCACCTGCGGGCTCCGCCACATACCTCCGTTAACACCTTGAGTGCCGTACTTACACAATGGTTGGGTCGACAACGGTGCTTAGATCTTGATTTGCACCGGCTCGCTCTTCCAGTTGGGCTGCCGCGCACATTTTGCTTGCCTAGACGTCACAAGGGCACGCTTACGGCTGTTCTTTTTGACCTGGCCGATTGCTCCCAGCCTTTCCTTATCCACACCATTGACTCGGCTGGGCGACATGCCCCAACTCCTATGGACTTGTGTGCTTGTCCCAAACATGGAGCCCTGTGGACCTCCATCTTTGCGTGTCGGTCCGAATGCCTTTATCGCAGCACTATCCCTGCCTCGATGACGCGTTCTGGCTTCGGGCATGAGCAGCTGTTTATCGCTGTTGATACAGCACGTGCCGGTCTCTTTGGGTTAGGCCTCTCTACGGTGATGCGGCCGTCAATTTGGGATATTCAGGATAGGGCCTCTGCTGTGCACGTGCAAAGCGAGATAGTCCGTGACGCTAGCCGTCAGGAAGTGGCTTCCCAGACGCTCCCGGCGCACTGGCATCCCACTGCTTCACCGCTCTACTCTGCAGCATTGCCCATCCGAAAGGCTGCAGCTGATTGTATTTTGGATGCCACGTACCCATCTGTTGGGACGCTCTTTCATCTGGAGTGTCCCAATATGGGGGTTCATTGCACTATACCGTGCCATTCCCGCCGCCACATCTGGGCTTTACGAACAGACGATACTGTTCGCGGTCTTTGCACTCCCGAGGTTTCTTGGGCTGTTTTGATTGAGGTGTTGGGTATTAGCGCTTGGGATCTGCCGGGTACCATTGTGCACAATGGCCATGACGTTTGGGAATGGCCAGATGACCTGGCACCACTTGCAGGCTCGTGCGGACATGTCTTCGAAAGGGAGACGCAGCAAAAAGGAGGGCATACGATTTGCTACCCACGCCCCTTCACTTCTGCTGGTCTAACTTCGGGCCCGCCTCCGCCGAGCGGTTCTGTAGCAGCAGCAGGGTATTCACTCGGCCTCTTCTCGAGTCGGATGCTACTGCCGGCCTTAATAGGATGGGCTCTGTGCTGGCCCGTGGCGCTTGCGGTTCCACCCCAGATTGCCACCGATGCCGCCAGACCTGCCTCGGGCCTGATTTACGACCCCACCCAGACATGCAATGTAGGCTGGTGTCATGAGCTTGCTTGTCAGGCGACACATTTCGCCACCTCTACGGGGCGACTAGCTGAGTACTTTCGTCGCCATTCGCCGTTTCAAACTGTGAGGGTGCTTCTGTGGCAGCCCTTTAGCGGCCCCACGGCTTTTTGATGTCCAGCGAGATGCCCCATCCGTCGTTCTAGCTCAGACTTTGGCTGCAGCCGGGCACGACGCTGCTACGCGACAGCTTTTTGTCGCTTTTGACAGCCAGGCCACTACGATTGATGTGCTGTCAGTGACCCATGGCCACTCGGTCTGGTGGATCATCAGAGACGGCATGTCCCGCGAATTACTGCGACCGGTGGCGCCGTGGTACAATGATAGAGAGGTCCGGGTTGTCACTGTTAATTCATACGGGCAGGCTAGTGCTGTCATCTACTCCGCGGAAGTTGCTGCACTAAAACGTCTTCCTCAGGGCGCGCGCGGTATGACGTCTGAGCCCCTCACTAGAGTCATAGGGCACCTTACCCATAGCGGTCTGGCCCTGACTGAAGTTGCTATAGGTACTGTCACTGGCCTTGCTTTCGGGGCGAGCCCTAGATGGCTCGCCATCTTATTGTGCATGCACGGTACTATAGGCGTTAGTGCTATGCAACAGGCCCCTGCTACTGACCTGTCAGTTGCTGTGCCCAGCAATGCCGCGGCTTGGTCGGATCCGGCACCTCCGCCAACCTGCACTCGCGTATGGACTCATACCCTCGCTGCCCCCATAGTGATCCCGTACGACCCTTCTCCCAGCCCGGCACGTATGTCACAGGCAGTTGCTGGCACATGTCGTGGTGTTGTCGCTCCAGGCGACTTTGCTTGGACTGTCCCGCAGGTTGTGCAGGGATGTGCACATATCCTTCACTTCCCGGTTGGCACCAATCCACCTGCTGTATACTGGCCCTTGCATTACTGTGCCCGAGCTGTTGTCATTGGGGTACACCCGGGGCCTGTGGACTGGGCCAACCTCGGGCAGCAAGCCTACGACGCCTTCGGGGTTGAATGTTTTATTCGCGGCCACTTCGGAGTTCAGTTCAGCAACAGGGTTGTCAGGTATGGCCAACATTTGCACACGCCGCCTCATGGCGCAATCCTTCATTTGATTAAGGTTCCGCCCCTGCCGGCTGGGAGTGGCCAAGGATGGGACCCTCCCCCAGATCCACTGCCCATTAGGAGCTTCGAATACGACATCTGTATGGGCCCACGAGGTGAAGTCCCTATCCCACGTCTGCAGGGCGATGCTATGGCCAGAGGCAACACGGCAGGCGCGGCAGCAAGACGAGCAGCTCCGCAGGAGCCCGCTATTGATGTCGGCAGCCTAGCTAGACAACTTGATAGTGTCACCTCACAGCTCAGCGCGCTGACCGCTCGGCTAGAAGGGGCTGGAGTGCTAGCGACGTCTAAGGCCGAGCCATGCACCACCAACGACCAGTCTGATGTGGCAGCACCGCCCGGGCTTGCCCCTGGCGACCGCAATGGCGCTCATCGCAGCCCCGGGCATTTAGGCTGTGTCCTTCTAGTTGCGCTTGGCCGATGCACTGTGTCGCTGCAATACGTGTGGTGGGCAGCCTGCTTGCCGTTTGTCCTCCCAGTTGTTTTCGGTGACGGGGACATTGAAAGTTCCGATGCCTCGCGGGAGCCCGAGCCGCCCAGTGAGCCCGACCTCTCAGATCTATCAGCGCCTACCCCCCGGGCTATTGTGCGGCACGACACGGGGCGTACCGAAGTGATGGCTTATGTTCGACCTAGTGACGACGAGCTTGCCCGGACCTCTGCGCCGAGCATTGGCGTCCCTGGCGATCTCACTCCAGCTTTCCAGGCCACCGAAATCCCCGCTATACAACGCAGGATATTGGCGGCTCTTAGTGAGGTTGATATTGAGAGACCTCCTGTTCCTTTTGTCCCGGCGGGCTGTCCCGTGGTTATCCATAATCCTTTCACTAGCCACTGCCAGGCGCGGTTGTGGGTACGCCGCAAATCTTTCGTGACATTTTGTCCGATTACGCATCTCGTCGCGGCTGGCAACCTTTGGTAGGGGTCCAGCCACAGCCGGATGACCGCGCAATCCATCTCATCCCTGCAGCTGCCGAGACTAGTTTGGCGTCGGTTGTGTTTCGCAATGGCGATCAACTGCTGCCTCGTTGTCTTGCGCGAGAAATGCCAGCTGCCGACTATCACTCTATTCGAATCGACAATCGACGTGGTCGGCTTCGCTTGCCGTACCACACGAGACGCTCGGCCGATAGTCCTCTCCATTTTCGTGATGGTGAATGCCTTCATGCTGATACCGGACCCTGGGGACCGCCCCCGCCAACACCCGCAGTCCCCTCGTTTGCTAGATCTGTCACCAGCTGGGCTCCCTTGATTTTGTTATTGGCGGGGCAGCGGTCGGTGTGGCCCTTCACCTTGTATGTGGGCTTCACGATAGGCCGCGCCATGATCAGGGACACAGCAAGTGCTCAGTTGGCCTCCTCTGTTATCAGGGTAGGACACTACCCTTGGCGTGTGCCTGCCGATCGCGCTCCCGTTTCTCTGACTTCCGATGGGCAGGCCTTTCGGTGTATCCTGCATTGCCCGTGGACAGGCCCGCAGGGTGCATTCCAAGGAAGCGCCGCTCTTACTGTCCACCAGCTTCGTCAGCGCTTTGCAGGGGCGTTGTTGGCCGACGCTTCTCTTGTGCCTGTTTGGCCCAGTCCGAATTTCTATCGCCTGAACTTTGTTCCGTGCCTCATGTCGCCCAGTCTTGTTTGTGTCTTAGCACATCATGATCAGATAGTCCGCGCTGTGGTTATTCCCCGCCGCATTTCCTACACCGACCTGGTTAGTGCCATGCGCTTCCAGCTAGACGCTGATGTTAACCAGGTGCGTCTGCCCCCGGCTATTCATGCTAGACGTGTGTATTCGCCGGAGGGCCTCATCAGCTTGCGCAATGGGGATCTGCTTGATGTTCTGGCTGGGCGCCCAACTCATTTGCTTGCCGTTCGCAGCGCCCAATTCATGAAGGACTGTGTTCTGTGGACTCGTAATTTTCAGGTCTCAGATACCATTGCCATTCGGTTGTGGTTTCCCCACATGCAGGACTCCCTTCTGACCTGGCTTGAGCCCGGTACGCAATGGGATGCAGTTGACCTCACCTTCACGGGCTCCTTTCGAGACCGATATCCCGGTCGTTGGGTCCCGGTCCCCTGGTGCCCTGGGCCATGTCCGCACTTTGCTCGAGCTCCCGATAGCCCCAGTGGAGTCTCGGTTTTGCACGACAGTGCTGACGGGGTGGCAGGCTTGCAGGTGGTATCACACATCACCACTCAGGAGTTGGCTGAGCTGCTTCACAC